AAAACACCTAGATATTTAACACACAGAACTGGAATAAACATTAACATCTTTATTTAGTACTTCTGTGTAGTAATAACAGAATTTCAAACAATTAATCAAAATAGTATTTTCTCTGCCTTTCATGAACAGTACAAACATTTATGTTGTTTTTAAATGTGCTATTTCAAAACAATGTGCAAATTTGTAAAACTAAAAAAAGCCATTAATTTCTCTTGTTTAGCTATATTATATAACTTTTCTTAAATCTATATCTGTCACCAAGTTGTGAAAATATGTTATGAGACAGATAATTTGTTGAAAAAAATCGACTGATCTCCTTCCCTTCCTCCCTGAGCTACTGACATCTGCAGAAATACAAACCCCACTGAAATACAAAGAGCACAGAAGCCTGCCTGACTTCTGTCAGTTCTGAGACCCTGTTGCTGATCAGATGGTTCGTTTTTTGACCAAGCGGCGTATTTCTCTAGTTAGCACTGGGAACATGGAGAAAAGGCAGAAGTGCTCAATATTTTCACAGCTTGTCGGTCTCATAACATACTGTCACAACATAATGACCTAAATATGTACGTAGCTTACCTTCCTTTGTGCTTTCTTTCAAGGTGTCGATGAAAGTTGGACGTAGTCCCTACCTCTGATAGTGAAGCACTGCAGAACTTACATTGCGCTGTATGCTTTTTTCTCAATGTTACTTTACAAATATGTTCTTTGTGATTTAATTAGCCCAATTTTATAATCGATGATTTGGTCGACATCTTATCCCGTTCTCAGACAACCACTTGTGACTTTCAATCAAAGTGCTGCAGCCCGCAGGTGAAAGGGGGTGGGCGGGACAGCGGTAAAAAAAAAAAACATGCATTCACCAATGAGACAGGTTATAGGTTGGGTTTGAATCCAAGCATCCAATAAAAAGAAGGATCTTAAAGAAACTGATAATATTCTGATGATTAGCGTTATTTCCACAGTTGTGGTCTTGAAATAAAATGCAGAGTCCTCAGCGCCCGAGACCGAGACGAGACCGAGACCAAATGCAGTCAGGTCCGAGACGAGACCAAGACCATCAAAAAATGGTCTCGAGACCAAGACCGATCTCAAGTACTACAACAGTGGTATCCAGTCCATCGCAGGGCAACACAGAGACAAACAACCATTCACACCTAAGGAGGATTTAGAGCAGCCAGTTAACCAAACAGTCATGTTTTTGGACTGTGGGAGGAAGCTGGAGTACCCAGAGAGAACCCACCATGCTCAGAGAGAACATACTAACTCCATGTTGAAAGACCCTGGGAATCGAACCTGGAACCTTGTTGATGCAAGGCAGCAGTGTTACAGCAGTGAGCAGCCCTACAGCTGGAACCTAGAGGCTTTAAAACATGCAGGTGTTTCTGCTCAGGCCGACATTAACGAGGTGATTTTAATGAACCGTCAGACCAGAGTCCTACCAGAACCAGACCACATCCTGCCGCGCTGGACGCCGCTGCAGGTGTCATGTGAGCTTCTGCTGCAGCTCAGGGAGGAAAACCACATTCTGGGGGTCTCTGCTTCCCCGAACCAAACGCTGCTTCTTTCCGGCCCGCCTCTCATCTGATCCAGACTCACACATGAAGCTCCTCTAAGTAAATTCAATAAACCAGGACGCCCCAAACAGATCAAATATGTAAAGCTGGAACTTTAACCTGAAAACAGTTGTAGATAAACGTTGTGATGTCACAGCAGCTACAGACGGAGCGTTTCATTTTACTGCAGCCGTTAATAAGCTTCTGTCAGTTTATTTTATATTTAGCAGCTGCTTATTTCTGTACTCGATCTAATAACAGATCATGTTTTACAAACAGGACGGATCTGTCTCTGCAGCTGTGTTTGACCCCCCCCCCCATCCAGATGCTGTATTTTGGCCTCTGTCTGTAACCCTGAGCTGCTCTGTGGGCTGGAGCGAAGCAGCGTCTGCAGCTTCTGTTCACTTCCTCTGGCTGAGTTGTGGTTCAAACGCGATCTGAGCGCCTGCTGGTTGAACGACAGCAGGTCGGTCAGAGGTTCAGGCGGATTATTGCGATTGTCTGAACAAACGGAGAAGAAGTGCAGCTGGTTTGGGGTCTGGGATCCATGGACCTCTGATCTTACCCAGAGGTTGGTAATCTAACAGCTTGTTCTGCTCCTCTGTGTTCTTGTCCACCAGTTTCTTCTACCCATTCCTTCTAGACCGAACTGATCTTCTGCTGATCGAGGCATTCCGGCTTCTGGGCCGAGGACATCCAGTGGGATGTCTCCATACAGTGAAATGTGTCCAGGTGAGCTTTGGACCTTCAGCCGTTTGGATTCAGAGCTGATCCAGATGTTTAAACCTGAACCATTGCCTCATTTCAGAGTTCTACATCATGCTGGGAGTTCTGTCCTTCGTGGTCCTGCTGTTCTCTGTGCTGGGCGCCGTGTTTCTCACAAAGTAAGACTTTCTATCAGGATGGGATCTAAATGCTGCTGCTGGTTCTAAGCTGCCTGCTCCGTTTGGCTGCAGCTCATCTTCCACATGTGTGCCTGATGGCAACCATTTCTGCAGAAATTCATGGCAGCACTGACTGTTCCTTTATGTTCCTCAGTCGTCCGTTTATCTCAGAGAAAATGTTCCGGATCTTCATGATTCTCTGAGATCTTTGCAGCCGGTTGTTCTGCTGAATTAGTTTCTGTGTAAAAAATATTTGTTTTCATGTTAAATTTAAACACAAAGAGCCTGATTATGATGTAATCGGGTTTTTTTTCACCATGTTAGCTGTGATGCAGCAGAATAAGGAAAAGCTCCAGATATCTGCTCTTTTCTTTTACCTGCTTTTTAAAACATTTTCCTGCATTTGGCTGATTTTTTTTTTTGCAGCTTAAGTTTTTCTTTTTTCTCATCTGCTAATCAGAAGAAAAAATCTAGGATTTCTAAAGCGGATCTTTTCTTAGAACGGCTTCACTCCCCTGATGTCATTTTTTATTGTTTTTTTAGAGACCGAAGAAATTAAAATGAGCAGTTTCTGTCTGTTAATAATCATAATTATGATTATAAAAGATTTATAAACTATGGGGACAGTTTTAAATAATGCATACAGATGAAACCGAATATAGAAAAATGTGAAAAGACTGATATATTTTTTTAGCTATCTGACTTTTAATCTGACTCGGCTCGACAGCATAAAGATTTCATATCCCTTTTCTAAAGGGATATGAAATCTTTATTTATTTTTGGAGGCCTACTTACGTTTTCTTGGTAAATTGAAGAATTAGTTTTTAAACTGTTAGTCGGATGTTTTTGGTTTCCTGCTAAAAGCTTCGTAGTACCTGGTTCTCTTCCTCCTGGAAGGAACCGCTGATCTGTCAGACCAGCATACCCATACAGGTCCTTCTCAAAATATTAGCATATTGTGATAAAGTTAATTATTTTTCATAATATAATGATAAAACTTGAACATTCATATATTTTAGATTCATTTCACACTAACTGAAATATTTCAGGTCTTTTATTGTCTTCATACGGATGATTTTGGCAAACAGCTCATGAAAACCCAGAATTCCTGTCTCACATAATTAGCCTATCATGATGAAGGTCTCTAAAGGAGCTATGCACCTAATCCTGAGTCTGGAGTAGAAACATCCAGAGCCACCGCCAACAGGCGTGTGCAGGAAATGGGCTACAGGCGCCGCATTCCCCAGGTCAGCCACTTTAGAACCAGAAACAGCAGCAGAGGCGCCTGACCTGGGCTACAGAGAAGCAGCTCTGGACTGTTGCTCAGTTTTACACGTCATTTGGAAATCAAGGTGCCAGAGTCTGGTGGAAGACTGGGGAGAAGGAAACGCCAAAATGCCAGAAGTCCAGAGTCAGTAGCCACAGTCAGTGATGGTCTGGGGCGCCATGTCAGCTGCTGGTGTTGGTCCACTGGGTTTTATCCAGGCCAGGATCAATGCAGCTATCTGGAGATTTTGGAGCACTTCATGCTTCCATCTGCTGAAAAGCTTCATGGAGATGAAGACGACCTGGCAGCTGCTCACAGAGCCAAAACCACTGGTAAATGGTTTACTGGTATCACTGGACTCAATTGGCCTGCCAACTCTCCTGACCTGAACCTCATAGAGAATCTGTGGATATTGTGAAGAGAAAGTTGAGAGATCCAAGACCAAAAACTGTGGATGAGCTAAAGGCTAAACGCTATGGAAGCATCCTGGGCCTCCATGACACCTCAGCAGGCTGATAGCCTCCATGCCACGCCGCGTTGAAGCAGCCACTTCTGCTAAAGGATTCCCACCAAGTATTGAGGGCATAACTGTACAGAATTATTTGAAGGTCGACTTTTGTATTAAGAACACTTTTCTTTTATTGGTCGGATGAAATACGCTAATTTTATGCCAAAACATACTTTAAACTACCTCAACGGATGTGTATCCCTTTAGTCATGTATAAAAAAAAATGTAATGACATACTTGTTGGTGTTTTTTTAAGCATGTGGTGATCTGACCTTAAATAGGTTTTTTTTAAAGAGATAAACCCGAATCTGACGCCTTGCGCTGCGTATTAACTATAGGTATGCTGATCTGACAGAACAGCGGCTCAGGCTGACTGGATTTGACCTGCCTGACCTCTGTGTTCATACCTATATTAGACGCCGTGCTCTCGCTTGACGTCCCCGTTTTATCCCTCTGTCTCCATGGAGACGCCCTCCTCTCATCCTGGTGAGACATCTGCAGGAACATCACGCTTCCTTCTTGTAGCCAATGAACGGCCTCCTCGCCTTAGTTCACGCATCACTTCTTAGGGCGGAACTAAATCATCCTGTAAATATTGTGCACCATATTAAATGAATAAGGAGGTGATTCATTGTGTATTTTCACACTTCAAACCCAAACATCAACAATCTAACAAAAATGGACCAAATAAATGAAAGGAGCAACTAAATCCAAGCAGGACCTCCTGAGCTCCGCAGCTGCTGCTGTCACAGGTGGACGGTTGGGTTTATCATGGTTTTATTTGCTGTTTCCGTGGCGTTAATGATCATTTATTGGACATTCTGCAGTTTTAACCCATATAACCATTAATTTAAAGGGTCAGTAACAGAGAAATACAGTTTCTATTCAGGGATCATTTATTAAATGAGCCATTGAAAGGCTTGATGTCATGGAGGAGTTTGCTGCTTGTTTGCTGGATTTCATAGATCAGATCGGACCAGCTTTAGTGTCAGTGCTGTCTGGTAGATCATATTACTTGCTAAAGAATATTTTTTAGCTTTATTTGGACTGATAGTTTATTTATCAGTGCTACTAAAAAAATGTGACCTGAATTAAAACATGTCAGTCAGCGGGACCTGGGCCAAGGGGCCCCTCCTGAAAGGTGGCGACAAGTGTCTCAGAAGGGATCATAAAAACAAAGTTAGTGCCATTTGTTTATGATGTTATAACATGTTTTATGTTTTTGTTCAAATTAATTATCAGTTTTAAATAAGACGATGGCTGCAAATGTGACTCCCTGTGGCCAGTTAACGTTTAGCAAAGCAGTGGAGAAGAAACGCAGCATCCTGTGTGGCCTGTGAGCCGCTCTGCTTCCTTTAGTCGTCACCAACGTTACAAAGCTTGACCTCATTTTGCTTCTTTTCTGTTTTTTGCTCCAGTCTGAAAAACATTTCGCAGACAAGAAGTTATTTCTCAGCTCATTGAGACGATTTGATCCTTTTGATGAAAAGTTGCGGTTCTTCCCTTTAGCGTCTTCCATCTGGGTCTGATTCAGGGTCTCTAACACTTAGAGACGGACGTTCTGCTGTTGGAGGCTTTTAGTGATGAACCTCCAAAACAGACAATAAATCTGATCAAATATTTCCATATTTTAAGTTCCTACGATGTTTTTAATTGAAGAAACTAAATAGCATTTTTTATCAACTATATGTTAAAGTCATATATGAATGTTTCTTTTTTTAATCCCTTTCATTTCCTGTTCTGTTTTACATCAGGAAATGCTTCTGTTCCTTCATCATCTGGTCGGTGAAGCTGCGCAGTAAACAGCTTTTCTGCTTTGCACTAAACTACAGTTTTAATTTTCTCCAGGTACCGCGCCGTGGTTCGGACCAACCGGAGGCTGAGGGGGAGCCAGTTCCTGCAGCCCCCTATTCCTCAGTTAGAGATCCCAGCTGTGACGCCCCCACTCCCATTACTGGAGGAGGTGGAGCCACCTCCTATACAAACTCCTTTGAACAGATCCAGTGGGTTCAGGTTATCCTCCAAGAGGCTGTGGAGAGGCCTGCAGCAGGTACCACTAACAGCAAACACCCAACGGCTTCTATTTAGCTCTGACATGGCGGCAACCAGACTTTACATACGTAGACGACTCATTGGACTAGAGGGCGGCCATCTTGGATCAGACCAGCTGCTGTCAGAATGAATAGGAGGCGCCTTAGATCTCTATTTAATCACATGAAAGATGAGTCAGAGATAATTATTGCAATAATCTCTTTCATGTCACAACCACTTAAAATAACTAATTTAAAAATGACCTTTCAGTTAGATTACACAGATTTATTGATTAAAAACATTTTAACTGAACTCAAACCGGATGAGATATAATTAAATATTAATGATAATCACAAAGTTTTATATTAATATATTATAAGATTGTTTTGCAAATATTATATATTTATATAGTTTATTATTTTTCATTATTTTTAAGGATTGCTCTTTGATAATAATAATTTCTTACAAAAGAAAGTAAAGTTATTTTGTTTTTTATTAATTTTATGTTAATTTTTATTTATTTTTTGTCATTGTCCAGACATTTTTGTCAAATCGTAGTGAATGGTAAATTGATGTTGTGTCTAAAGGCTTTTTGTCCTTATAAACTTGTCTAAACTTCTTCAAAAACTCTTTTTCAAACTATTTTTTTTATTCATTATTTATGCATATGTGAACATTCCTGTTCTTTAATCAGCTAATACGTGTCATACATACGTCTTTTAGGTGGATGTGACATGTAAGAGTTTATTGTAAAATTATCTCTGACTCGTCTTTAATGTGATTAAATTGAGATCTAAGGCGCCTCCTATTCACTCTGACAGCAGCTGTCTGAACTGTGGTCTGATCCAAGATGGCCGCCCTTTAGACACGTTGGCCTCGCTCTCGACAGCGTCCAATGAGGCTTGTATGGAGGCAATGGAGTCTTTGGGGCAGACGACACCTCCTGCAGCAGGAAATCCGATGGTCATGTGACCACATTTCATCCCATGTTATAAAACCTGAAGCTGGAAATTTGTTCCCATTTAAACTTCTGTGAGTCATGAAGAAATCCTGTGAAATGTGGAAACATGAGAGTTAAATATCTCCCTGTTTATGATCATGTGGAAGTATGTGATTCACATGTATATCATATGTGTTTCACATGAGTTTTTAAAACCATGAATTGTTAGAAATTCCCACGTTCACCTCATGCTAAATTCCCTGGTGGAACACACCAATCTTCACGCTGTAATTGTGCAGCCGTGAGTTGTTTTCCTGTGAGGGAGAACCTGCAGAGGACTTTCTTTGTGTCTGCCTGACTTCATTGTTTGGATTACAGGAGCCTCGTTTTTCCAAGTCGGACCTGAACCTGCTTCAGCTGATCAAAGCAGGGAAGGAGGGGGTCTTCTACCAGGCCAGGATGAACAGAGGAACGTGTAAAGGCCACAGCATGTTCACCTGCAAGATCAGCAAGGAAGGTACATCACAAACATATGGCTGCATTTTAACTGGAGACTTCAGAGTTCCTCTCCTTCTGGGCCCCCCCTCTGGGGTCGGGGTCCTGCTATTTTTGGGCGTCTCTCTGCTCAAACTCACCTTAGCCAACCAGATCAGTCAGGATCTGCTTAATGTGTTCCATCTAAAGTTTAGCTTCTGCTGAAAATTCATTAATACCTGTGTTGGATTCCAGAGGTTGCGTTTGGTTACGGAGTCAAACAGGTCCTGGCCAGCTAATGTCTGTCCAGCTGATATATGGTGTTAGGATTTTAAGTTCAATGCCAAGTAGGATGTCACATTAATGTTGGGATTTGGTCACTCCTCTGTGGGCTGCCATGTGACTTGCCTGTTGAGGCCTTGGCTGAAAAATTGGGGGCACAGAGGTCCCCCAGCTGTTATTCACCAAAGCTGCATGTTCTCCTCTGGTCATCCTGTCAAGATGAAATATGGACACTGCTTCCCAATGTTCAAAAACCATGATCATATGGCACAGCAGTGGCTAGCTATGTCTGGATGGCTAATGCTCTTTGTAACTAAGAGGTTGAGTTAGCTGGGATATTTATATAAAAATATGATTTATTTCTAGATTTATTTTGAGTCATATGTCTGTTACTATGCAGGTTTTTAATAATAAATAATAAACTTTATTGAGAAATTCCCTCAGTGCATTTAACCCCTCCCCTTGG